GTCTTTTGGGGGATGGGGGTTGGGGGCAGAATGCTATGGTTTATACCTAGATGTCCTTTCAAAGCCTCATGCAATCATAGGTAGGGCTTTTAGGAAGTGACTGAATTATGGGGGAATTATAGCTGACTTGCTATTAAGAGGTGAGGGCTGGTTAGAAGAGGGGGGTCACTGTGGCCATGACCTGGAAGGATATATATTCTGTCCCAGCTCCTTCCTTTATTCTCTTGTTTCCCTGCTGCCATGACATGAATGGCCTCTCCTCCTCCACGTTCCTCTCCCATGCCATCCTGCTTTGGAGCCAACTAACTACAGACTGAAATACGAGCCAAAATAAACTTCTCCTACCTTAAATTGTGGGTGTTGGGTATTGTGTCTCAGTGATGAGAAAGCAACTGAGACAAATGATTTAGTATCTGATATATTTAAAAAGGCATCTCACATCACTGGGGAAATGAATTGTTCACTAAATACTAGTGGGACAATCAGCTTTATGAACAAAAAAATAAGGAGCCTCATTTCATATCACACACACACACACACACACCACATTCTCACACATTCACTCCCTCCAGATTAAGGAACTACTTGCAAAAGCAAACTTGTAAGCATGTTGGAAGAAAATATGGAATGTATTTATGATGTTAGAGAAGTTCTTTTACTAATTATCTTTAACTATTTTTGCCAAATGAAAAGGCTTCAAGAGTACTTTGATAAACCCTTGTTCTCACCATTGCTCAAGACATAAAACATAACAAACATAATTGAAGTCAATGATTTCCTTCTCTCAAAAAGTGCTAAATTTAGAAAGGTAAAACTGCACAAAGTACTGCAAGAACACAGAGAGTACCTAATTCCAATAGGGTTCAGGCATAAAATAAGGTTAAGAGTTTTCCAGATAGAGAAAATAGCATGCACACGAGCTATACATAATTCCTGACTCTTACTGTCTACTAAAGATTATCAATGACAAAGTCTCAACATGCCAGTCTACCTAGAGCTGTGCTACCTGAAACATAGCTCTGGTGAGTTTACTTTCCTAGGGGAAGGGGTCAGAATGTGTAAGTAAGAGAACATCCAAATAAAAAGAGAATGTGAACTAAGGTGCACACCTGTTATCCCAGCACTAGGGAGGCTGAAGGAGGAGTACTGTCTCAAGTTTGAGGCCAGCCTAGGCTACATAATGAGTTCAAGGCCAGCCTGAACTATATCCAGACCCTGTCTCAAAAAGAAAAAAAAAAAAGATACACACACAAATTCAAAAACAAGCTGCGGATGTGGCTCAGTACAAAGGCCCTGGATTCAAACTCCAAAACTGAAAAGAGAGAGGGGTGACAGATAGTGCAGAAGATACCAGTATGAAACATACTACTAAGAAGTAATGATTAAATCAAGCTCCTTTAGAGAAAAGAATAAAACTGACTACTAAAAATTTGGAGGCAGAAGATTCAAATTTTAATGGGGGCAAAAGATTTACTGTGTTGAAAGAAATGAAGTCCCTGCACTATATATGTATACATGCAGCTTTAAAACAGTAATCTGCCAGGTGTGATGGTGCATGCCTGTAATCTCTGCACTCCGTAGGCTGAGGTAAGGAGGATCACTGTGAGTTCGAGACCAGCTTGGGCTACATAGTGAGTTGAAGACCAGCCTGAACTACACAGAGAGAACTCATCTCAAAAAAACAAGGAAACAAAAGAAAGACAATAATCTATCCTAAGCCATAAATTAACAGATACTGTTCTCTTATTCATCATTAATCAGCCAACTTATTTCTCATTAAATCTCACTAAAATACACTAGATGGCCACATAATAAAGAAAAGTAGAGTCTAAAGCCTTGTGACAATATCACAAGTGTTTCTGAAGCCTTCCAGACTACCTGACTACCTTGCTTCTGAATTTCAAACACCTCCTGGAATTTATATAACCACATAATGCAGCTGATTTTTTCCTTTATCCACCTTCCGGTCTTCTTTTCTGAATTTCCTTTAGCTTTTATCTCCTAGCTATGAATGTATGCAAAGATAAAATATGTGGCATCTACTTTTCTCTTGAAACAACATAATTTCAAGAATTCTGGCTTGGACCTTGCTTTTAATTCTAGTTACATATCATCTTCTTGCATATTCTGTCTCTGACTTAAACTGCCTGTTTACAGAGTCTCTCATTCTCTTACCTATCCATTACATTTTAGCTTGGCCCAAGTATGCCATTCAGTCTGGTTTTAACTTTAAAGCATCATCTAGACCAGTGGTGGCAAACCTATAGCACCCGTGCCACAGCCAGCTGGTTGTTATCATTGAAAGCTCTAAAAGGTTCACCATCACTGTTCTAGACTCTGAGCTCAAGCAACAACAACAACAATAACAAACTAGACTTCCTCTAATACATCTTGTTCTTTCAGTCTGTGCTTCTACGTATTGTATGCCCTGCATCAATGCCTTCCTGATCCTGCTTTGCTCTACTGATTGTTTATAATCCAGGTCAAACATCTGTGGAATTTACCCCCACTCTCACAAACATCTTTGTTCCTAGTACACTTTTATATAGTTCCCTAAAAGGATTTACAACATTGCACAGTAATTATTTTACATGTCTTGGTATGCTCAGAACCTAACATTTTTTGAGGCACCTTATGGACAAGTTAACAGTGTTGTTTTTTTTTCCTGCTGTGCTGAGGATCAAACCCAGGGTCTCAAGAACTAGTGGCTAAATCCCCAGCCCAAGAGTTGGTTTTAAAAGATCTTTTGAGGGCCAGGGACTTAGCTCAGTGGTTCCGCCGCCTGCCTTGAAAGCACAAGGACCTGAGTTCGAGCCCCGGTACCAAAAAAAAAAAGATCTTCTGATATGGTCATATTATTCTACTCACTGCCACTCAAGCATACTATATGATTATGTTTAAGATCTCAGATTCTGAAGCCAGGCTATTTCAATGCAAAGTTAGGATCTACTTATTAGCTAGGCAAACTAAATTAATCTTTCTGTGCCTCGGTTTTCCTTTGTGTGAAAAAGAGGAAAATAAGCTCTACCTCATGAGGTTATAAGGATTAAATTCATTATTATAAGCAAAACATTCAAAACATTGGCACAAGATAAGCATTAAGTATGTACCAGCTATTATCATTAGTACACCGTAGACCTTTTTCATGTGAGTCCTCTTATGTTCTGTATTTCCCATTCTATATTATGCTGTCCATGTTGTACTATGAATGGGCTCCCTTCATTTTTCCCTTTATCTAAATCTTACCCAGATTTTGAGGCTGACATCTGGTAATCATTCCAATCTTCATATGATCACTCTTTAATTAATATCTACTGCATAGCATTTCCTGCATCACTCTACTTAATTAAAATTGCTTTGCATCCAAGTAATATTTCACATATAAGTTTGTCAACCCAATTTTTAAAACTCTCTGAAAGTCCTGATGACAACTTAGGCATCTTTCTGATTTCCTATAGCAGGTGATAAGTGTGTGGTTTTTGTTGAGTAAAAATAATAAAACTCAAAGGAAATCTCAACTCTGATCACACTGCCTTTGCAATCAAAGAAATGGAGAACACTGTGAGAACACGCTCCTTAGAGAGGTAATGGTCCCATGTTTCTCTAGAAGCCAAGCTGCAAATGTATTAGGGCCAAGGAATTCTGACTCCCATTAAAATGAGAAACCCTAAAATAGCTTCTGGAGGGAAAAATCCTCCCTGTTCCTACACAGGAGTTATGGGTAGCACTTAAGTTTCCAAGTCAAACTGTAGCACTGGATTCTCTAAGAAAAATGTGTTAACACGACAAGATGTGAACACAGGATTTGCAGTCAGCAAGGTTACAGGGGGACCCCTGAGACTGTTTCCTTCTCCATACTGGATATTGTACCATCTACTTAACAAGTATATACCGTATCAACATCCACATAAAGATTTAACTGAAATTCCAAATTTCCTTAGAAGAAAATTTTAAAGAAACTGAAAACATACCATTCACAAACGCGAGAACATTTTTAGTTACCTAAGAATATGTTATATTAGCTTAGCTGGCATCAGTAGTTTATAAAACTACCAATGAGAAAAACAAGTACAATATTGTCAATCATACAGACGAGATGGAAGGACAAATTTCACCATAAAGTTTATCCTTCATGGACATTCTTTTTAATTTGTTCTTTCACTATGACTAAAAACAAGCGTTCAAAATTATCTCCAAAAGGAAATGTTTGGAAAGTACAATTTAACCTGAATATAAAATCAGTTTTATAAATGTATTCCACCTTATAGTGTAAATTTAGGAAATTAAGATAATGGCGAACGGCTCAAATGATGATCTGAGTCAGTACTTTCAAATCAAGAGTTCTTCCAACTTGAAGCTGGCAGTCACACAGTCTAAAGGGTTTGTTTACAGCACTAAAACAAACACCCTAATCTTTCAGAAGATTCAACCTGAAGTTCTAATAATAATTCTTTTATGGCATTCTAATTGCTGAAATGACCAATACTACACAAATGAAGCCCAAATGAATTTCCTTTGGAAGGAAAAAAAAGAACAAACGTGGCAAGTTTTACTTTTAACCTGTGGCTCCCCACCCCCACTCCCACTCCCGTTCGGAATTGTGAATCAAATGCTGTTCATCCACGGAGAAAACACAACACTGCTAAATGTTACGCTTAGGGTAATGGGTGAAAATGTGAAGATGGATCTGTTTGCCTCAGGATACAGTAGTATGTGGCAGTACACAGATCAACAGAAAACACGTTAGTAATACGCACTGTGAACTTTCAATGATCCAGAAACCTTACAATTGAAGAATGAAAAGATGGCTCTGGGGAAGGGAAATCAAGCTCTGAGAGAGGAACGAGGAGCCAAGTGTGAAGCCAGAGGCGTGTAAGGGGCAATGGAGGGGAACTGGGAGTACGTGGATGGTAACCAGCGGTTTGGTCTCCGCGGGAGTTTTGGGCGGGGGCTCACCGAGGGTGTCGGCAGCGTGCGCGCGGTCGGGGTTAAGGTCATACCTGGGGTTGAGAAATCGAGGTGACAAACTTGGGAAAGTCGAATTCGGAGATGGGAACCGGGAGAGGAAGGAATGTGGGGATTTCCAGGCTGGGTCTGACAAGTTCGGGGAGCGTCGGGTGCTCAGTTCTAGGGCGAAGGAGGCCCTAGAGTAAGGGGCCGGTCGGCCCCGGAGCAACCCACACCCACGCGCGACACGGCCTGCCTCCCCCGTCCCTTCTCACCTCAGGCCGCGAAGCCGCGATCCTCCGCGCTCGACCTGCTCGACGCCTGGCCGAGCAGGACCCGTCGGCCAGGCGGGCGCAACCCCCAGCTCAGCAGAGCCCAGGCGGCGCCTGACCAGCCCCGCGGCCCAGCGGCCGCTCGCCAGAGCCTACGTCCCCTCGCAGTTCCTTCCCCGCGGACGCCGCGCGGCCCTCCTCCCCGGGCAGAGCTCGGCGCCCCTTAACCCCTCCCCGCGGCGCCCCCGGGAGCCCCGCCCCCGGACCCGGGGCCTGTGTGCTGATTGGGCCCCAGGAGTCCAAGCGCACCCGGCCATTGGCCCAGGGGCCGCCGACGCCAAGGGGGCGGGACTCGGGGCGGCTGCGATTCCCGTAACGAGGCTCCCGGCATCCCGGATTGTGGTGGCTGTGCCCGCGGTGTCTCTCAGACGAAGTCAAAGGGTTCCCCCACCTCCCCTCTGCGGGCGGAAGGAGCGGAACGTTACATTTTTCCATGGAATAACGGGGTCACGAACTGAAGCCCCCGGGTCCTGCCAGCGCCTCTGTCCTCCGGTGTAGCCAGGCGCGTTCTACCTCCCTTCGCGGCTTTCCCCGAGGGACTTCGAGGCTCGAGGGACCGCAGGACTCCCTTGGGGACAGGGAGGCGTGGGAGCTCCTTGGGGACAGTGAAGGGCTCAGTGACCGTGACTGCGCTGGAGAGTACGCAGCTTGTGGTGGTGGCTTTGGTCCAAGTGTTATGTAAAGGAACCTTGCTGCGGTATACTTTTTTTCTTAAGTTAGTAAATGAGTTTGGGTGTGATTTATCAGCGAATCCAGAGCTGGTGACTTGCCAAAAAACTAGTGTTTCTTGTGGTTTGTACCTCAGAATCTGTGATAAAAATACTGAGTAGGAACCAATTTCATTGTAATTCACCCTCACTTCCCCGACCCCCACCCCACTGTGTGGAAAATGAATCTAAAGGCCCACGTTGGCAGATATTTTTTTCCAAAGGAAGATGAGAAGCTTAAAAGATAAGAATGTGTGTGACTGTAAAGAAACATTCAACTCCGGAATCTTTTGAGGGAAAGAATAGCAGACTACAGGAGAGCAATTTTTTGTTTTGCTAAGATAGGAACCAAACCCAGAGCCTTGGACTTGGCGAGATGAGCAAGCCCAGCCCACAATAATGTCCTAATGAACAGATTATATCCAGAAAATAAGACGACTATTAAGATTCTTAATAATATTGAGAATTAGTGGTGGTATAAAACAGATGAAATTATGATCCTAGTTGTTGATCAGATATTTTTAAAAAGACATAGCAAAGTGGACATATTAGAGTCGTCTCTGGGAAACTTGGAATGGTTCTGTAGTAGGAGGCTAGAGCATGACAATGTGGCTGGGCATTTGGGCAAGAACTGAGGAGACTTATTGACCATAGAACAGCGGCACCAAGCCCGACACGGGATCAAGCCGAGCCCCACGCAGGCTACCAATGTGCTGATAGGAGAACACGGAGAACCTGGCATCCGATATCAGTCTTCTAGCAGGACATCAAATGGGACCACCTGGATACTATCAAAGAAGACATAAAAGGATGGCGGCAATTGACTTCCTAGCTATTGCCCTCTTGTTCCTGCAGTAATCCGCTTTGCTTGCAGAATGTATCTTCTCTTTTTTCTTCAAAGAACCCTTTTATCAATGAGCCCTTTTGCACTTTTGCCCTTCTATTTCTGCCCTAAAATAAACGGTGATCTTTCACACGCAGCATTTGTCCTGACCAATTCATTGGGACAGATAACCTGGAAGACAGTGCTGCTGGTCCCTACCCCATCTGATAACAGTTCTGCAGATGATGATGTGTTCAGCGCTATCTGCTCCTTGTCATCCTATATCTAACCCACAGAGCGAGACCAGATTGTATTCTAGTTTTACCATTTATTAGTATGTGTTTGCAGTACATAATGATTACATTTATCTTGAGGAGTTGTCCCCTACCCCTCCTAGCCCTTCTTGCTCTACTCTTGGTCTTCTTCCCATTTGCAAAAAGTCTATTTCCTCCCCTCACCAATTCTTTTTTTCTTTCTCATCCCCTTTTCTTCCCCTCCCGCTTCCCTCCATCTCTTGTTCCTTTTTCCATTTCAAAAAAGATCTCCCTACTTCCTATTATCCTTCAGTTTGCTCTATATTTACATTTTGGATTTCTCATATAAGGGAAACCATGTGGTTTTGGGGTTTTTTTTTAGTACCAGGTATTGAACTCAGGTCCTTCTTCTTGCGAGGCAGGTGGCAGAACCACTGAGCTAAATCCCTGGCTGTGTGGTTTTAAGTTTGTGTCTGATTTATTTTACTTAATGTTATGGTCTCAAGGTGCATACATTTACTTATGAATCCCTCAAGTTCATCCTTTAGGGGAGAGTAGTACTCCATCATGTATAAATACCACATTTTCTTTGTCTGTTCATCTGTTGCTGGGCATATAATCCATTCCCAACATTTAGCTATTATAAATTGTGCTGCTATTAACATGGATATGCATATATCACCGTAATATGATGACTTTATCTATTGAAAATACCCAGAAGGGGAATAGCTGAGTCAATTTTTTTTTTTTTTGTAAGACAGGGTTTCACTATGCAGGTCAGGTGGGTCTTGAACTCACTATGTAGCCCAGGCTGGCCTGGAACTTGCAGTGATCCTTCTGCCTCAGCCTCCCAAGTGCTGGGATTACAGGATGTGTACCACCATGACAGTATTTTTGTTTGTTTTTTAAGACAGGGTCTTGCTATGTAGCCCAGGCTGGCTTCAAACTCAGTAGGCAACACAGACTGGCCTTGAACTTGCAAAAGTCCTCCTGACTCAGCCTCCTGAGTACTGAGACTACAGGTATGCACCATCACATCTGACCTAGGAGTTCTATTTTTATTTTTTTTGAGGACTCCATAATAGTTGTACAGTACCAGTTTGCATTCCTACCAACAATGTAGGAACACCCCCCCCAACCCCTCACCCCCGCCCAGCCCAAGCCTCACCAACATTTGTATTATAGTAAGTCCCCAATTTAGAAACAAGTTCTATTGTGGGAGAATGTTTGTAAGTCAGATTTGTTCTTAAGTCCAACAAAGTGAGTCTTGTACACCTTTGATACAGAAACAGTGTAAAGCATAACAACCCCCAAAATACACACAAATACTGTAAATAAACTATTTTTACTTTTGCAATCACCTTCAAATGGTGGTACAGTACAATATAACTGTAAATAACAATTTTTACTTGAGCAGTTACTGCATTTTCACTTTTGTTTCTATAGTTATTGCTTTGTGCTACCAGTGTCTTCCCCATCACCACTGCTTTTCCTCTTGCTTTCAGACATTCTGGTCTCTGATTGAGCACCGTACTACTGTGCACTATCATACTGTACAGTAAGCACACAGCAGCACAACTGTGACAGTGTCTGGTGAGCTACTTCTGCGATTTGTTCACATCGACGAATGTTCATAATTTGAGGTCTGTTCGTATCTGTGAAAGATCGCAACTTGAATGTTTATAAGCCTAGGACTTCCTGCACTTAGTTTCTTGATAATGGCCACTCTGTCTGGAGTAAGATGGTATCTCAGTGTTGTTTTAATTATCATTTCTCTAATGGATGATAGTGTTGAACATTTTCTGTTTATTTTGAAACAAATTTCTGCTAGAGCAGTGGGACACACCTGTGCTGAGACAGAAGGATGGCAAGTTCTAGTCTAGCCTGGGCCACTTAGTGACTTAGTAAGACCCTGATTCAAAAAAATACAAATGGGCTGAGGATGTAGCCTGTTGTGAAGTCTCCAGTATTGAAAAACCAACAACAACAACAAACATAAAAGTTCATGTAGATCCAGAAAACATTTATTTGGGGGTAATGTATAGTGGTTAAATGGACTCTATTTCCAGGTTGCCTAAATTTGACCTTTGTGCTGCTACTTCCCATCTCTGTGACCTTGGGCAAATCTTTTTAGCTTCTTCATCAACAAAATGAGAATAATAGTACCCACCTAAAAGAATTGTTGCAAAGATTAAATGACTTAAAATATATATAAATATATATAAAATATATATAAATATATAAAGTGCTTGGCACGTAGTAAGTGCTCAATAAATATCAGCTCTTATCATTATTGAATGTCTCCTATGTCATTGTGGCTCAAACCTTTATGGATCACAGCATATATTGGAAATGATGCTTCTCAGGGCTGGAGGTGGATAGAAGGAGATCAATATCTCACAACACACTAGCTTACCTTGGCCCACTAATCAGGAAAGCAAAGGTCTGAGTCCCTTAATGATTGTCTTTGATTTGGTTCAACTCAGGCTCTGCCTGTAAGAAACTCACATTTTGTGGGAGTAGTTAAGGTCCTGGGTAGGCTGGTAGGATGAATCCATATAGGAGAGTTTATAGAACATCAAGACTAGGAAACATCTACTGTGCTGGAATTACATTACTGTAGAGACCTCTAAAGAGCATTGGCTTTTGAAATGAACACTTTCAGGTTAAGAATTTGTCACTAAAAAGCTCTTTGGAAATTGCAACGTGCACTTTTTTGTTTTTGTAGTTGTGGCATCTTGTTGATAAGGTCTGATTTTGATAATAACAATTCCCAGAGAGCATGGGGTAGGGGTGGAGAGAGAAAGCCCTGTAAGCCCTGTTAAAATGCATAGGTAACTGGGGAAAGTGGCATAACAGTGGGGAACTCTCCATTTATGTCCTGGGATCAGTTGAGATTTTAGATTTTCTTTTTTTACACCAGGGATTGAACTCGGGACTTTGCGCTTGTGAGGCAGGCGGCAGCACCACTGAGCTAAATCTCTGGCTGAGATTTTAGATTTATTAAGAGCAAGGGTTAGGGAATCTACACAGTGAGAGGGCAACATGAAGACAAAGAAGTTACTTGGGAGTAAATGAACAAAGCTAAGAAAACAAAATGCTGTAGCACAAAGGTGATACATGTTGAAGACAAATGTCACCTGCCTTTCCAGTTGCCTAAATCTGTTCCTGACCAGGATATTCATTTACTTCCTTATCCTGTGCCCAGTCGTATGTGGTCATGGAACTAAGTGCATGTCCTGTATCAGTCTAATAATTCCAGCATCCATGTTGATTACTCAGCAAGCTGACCTTACAGTGTTGTAGTCAGGGTTTGCAAGGAAATAGATTTAATACAGGACACATAATTTATAGGATTATTTTATAATATTTA